AAAAGTATACTAATTTAGCACTTCCCAAACAACCCCTAAAATTTTAACGAGTTCGAACTTTAACACAATAAAAATTTAACGAACCGAGTTTGAATGAGTCCTTACTAGGTCGAGCTCGAGTCTGTTTCCAAATAGATTCTGTTCATTTACAACCCTACATCGTCCAAAATAAAAAATAAAAAAGGACATAAATAAGAAATCAATCTCATTTTTTATTATTTAATAAAACTTAATAGCTTTTTAAAAAAAATAATATATATATATGATTCACACCAATGACGTAGACTATTTTTAATTGCCGAAAATGTTGTTTAATATGATTCCACTCCGTTCATTTTGTCCATTGCTTCTTCACCCCATCTTCGTAGTAGCTTCCTCCATTCGCATGCCCTCAAAAGATCTTTTTCACATTTGGTGCAAAAGAATTTATTGTCAAGGCACATACAAGTTGAGAAATGTCTTATTCTCCGATTTTATCATCCCAATTGCACCTTTAATAAACCAGCAAATAATATCAACTAATTAATTCTCTTTAAGTGTTTTACAGATCTAAGTTGAACCCTAGGTTTACTTTCTTTTTTCTTTTTTTTTTTTTTTTTTTTTTTTGTTGTTGGTTAAGTAAGAAACCCAATTTGTAGACATAAGTAATAACTCAAAAATAAAATACTACTCATGCCAATTAATTTCTCAATTTTCTCTTCACACCAGGCTCTAAGGATTTGCAAAGCACACAAATTTCTATCCTAAAACGCCAACTACTGAAGTTTAATTGTTCTGTATGCTAGGCGTAAGCTCTCTTCTAGAGGGGGTATTGCCTTTGGCATGTCTTGAGCTTCATTGTAAATCCCCTTTTATGGCAATAAAAACTTACCCCCGAAAAAGCATACCATGGCGAACAATGCCTACGTGCTAGAGAAGCCGAGAAAAGGAAAGCCAACAAATATCAACTATATTCAAAATAAAAAAATTCAATTTCCCAACTAGTACCAAGCATATAGATTTTGAATTTCTGAACTCTTTTAATTGAGGCATTTCGAAATGGCCTACTTGGCTAGATCAATAAATCAATAGAAGGAAAATAACAAGGTGCAGCTGTTAATAGAGTAAGTAGAACTTCAATTGGTGAACAATAATGCTAGACCCCAAATGTTCTAGCAAACACTCACATGGGTGTTGGTCCCACAACACCCATGTGAGTGGTAGATTTTTTGGTAAATTTTTTTGTATCCTTAGGCTTTTGCTCATTGGTGAAATGAGGCAAGAGACAAAAGCCACAAAAGAAAGACATGAAAAAGGAGCAGAATGTAACTACTAGGGAATCCAGAAAAACAAACTTACTTGGTAAGTCAACGAGAGATGGAAATAGCTGAACAAATGACCCAAGAGACATCAATGCTGGAAACACACTTAGAAACGATTTTTCATGTAACGCCCTCAAAATAATAACATTAAACCCAACAAAGCAAACATGCATTGAAATGCAAAAGCTCCACATTCTTTCATTTATCAGAATTCCATTACATAAGTACTACATGTTAACAACAAAAGCAAAATGCCCTACGGGCTTACAGCTTTCCAAGTTAACACTTGGTTACATCAAAAGAGTACTAACTCAAACACATTAAGCCCTTGGCTTGAATTTACATGTAATACATCAAAAAGGTAAAACGACAAAAGTATGTCCGCCTCTAGCCTCCCAAGCTATGTCCTTGGAGGTGGCATGCTTCCTGTACCTGAAAATGATATTCCCATATAGAGTGAGCCACAGCCCAGTAGAGATATACTAAACCAACCATGAACATTGACTAAAACATTAGCAATTGATAGATGGCCAACACTGATACATTCACATAAATCACATATTTATGTCATACGACTTATAAGTCCAAGTTACTTCTCATTTTCCCCTTTTCAACAGATAAGCATGTTAGCTCTATCATCATCTTAATAGATATGTATAAAAACAATATCCCACATTCACAGATAAGCATATAAGCTGTATCCACACTTCACAAAGATAAGCATATGAGCTCTATCTTCACTTCTCTAGACAAGCATATGAGCTGTATCTACGGAGTTCATCCCCTATCTTCTCCCAACACTATCCGGTTTAGAGGTACATCCCCTATCTTCCCCTAAACCGCGGAGTACATCCCCCATCTCCTCCTCTACACATAACGTATACAAACGCATTGGTTCTATATACAATCACTCAATACATATATATAATGTATTCTATCAACCGTCAAATTCCATGACACATTCCATTGATTAGTTTCCGTTTGCCTAATCATCATGCATTGTCTACAACAATCACGACTATCCTCCACCAATAGCCCAAAGCAGATATTTCTAAACAGAAAATAAATGCACAAATGGATAACTATCAACATTTCAATTCGGTGAGTGATGAATAATTCAACTACACCCTTTAACCCCATACATTCCCAATCTCAACATTTCCATTTCATAACTCCCTTTCTCACGATTAATTAACTCAATTAATCAAACAATGTAATTAGGTTGTTTACCATAATTAACATTTCAACCCTTAGGTCCTATTTTCATCAATGATTCTACATTTATTCCTTTTCTCTATGCCAAACATGCATCTAGGTTTATTATGAATAAAACCCCAACTTTTGTAAAATTGCACAAAAGTCCCAAACTTTCACAAAATTACCCAACCAAACCCAACATCTCAAAATACTAAAATTTAAAGACAAAATCCATAGAGAGGAGTAGGATATCCCTACCTCAAATTCGGAGTCCCAAAGGAGAAGATGACAAAACCCAACGTGCTCCAAAACCCGAGATTTTCAGATTAAAATGAAGCCCTCGACGATCAACAACTTTTTTGTAAAGGCCAAAGGTGAGCAAATCACTCCTACTAGATCAAAACCTAGAGAGAAGGTAGAGTCTAGAGTGAGAGGCTCAACAATGGTGATTTTGGAAAAAGTAAGAGAGAGAAGAAAAAGTAAAAAGTGATTTGGAAAGTCACAATTTCGGGACTTAAACCCAGTCTCCCGCTCGAACGTAAAACACCCCGCTCGAGCGTCACTCACAGACTCCTGCTCGAGCGTCCAAACTTCCGCTCAAGCGCCGGATGCACTCTCCCAGCATTTATACAGAACCAGACCTCCGCTCGAGCTTCCAACTCTACGCTCGAGCGTCACTCAGACAACCCCGCTCGAGCGGCCAATACCACGCTCGAGCGTACAATGCTGCACAGGAAAAATACTGAATGGGTGTAATCTCCGCTCGAGCGCCAAAACCCCCGCTCGAGCGTACAGGCCAAAATCTGGGCAACTAGTTCTGGTTTCTAAACTCAACCAACTTGTAACAAACCTGCCCAACACATCCTATAACTCAATTACGAAGTAAAAAGGACGTAAACAAAATAATAAACAACTACCAACATCCACGGACACATGTCCGGATCACGGTATAACAAGGGTAAACCCGGGATCGCTATATTTCAAATCTGCATCAAAAAAGAAAACAAAAAAATATATATATGTAAGAAAGTCAGTAATGCCCTTCACTGCAGATTGAGTCCACAGTATCTCCGAAAGCATTCTTTTAGATCCTCCTTTTTGAAATTAAACATGTGTTTAGTTGTCAAAATTTCCGTTAGGCTCAATTAGTTTCAGTACGAAATTATTATACCATATTTTGTTCCAACAAGGTCGGGAAGGTGCATAATAACGTTAAACATACAAAATAAGATGTGGCATCACATAAGCAACAAAATTTATTTCTGAAGTAGCATTGACAGGACAAAAATAAAATAAAACTACAATTATGAATACCAATATATGAAGGGTCTTGTTAACAAGTGTCCCGGGGACACGAAAAGTAGACCCGAATTTTTTTTTGGAAAACACAAGACACTTTTTATTAAATTCAATGCGGTTTTTATGAAAATTAATGCACTTATTTTAACTGTTTGACCTATTTTCAAGACACTCCTTTATTTCAATCCCAATATCCAGCATTATTGGCATTTGTCATATACAAATATCTCGAGGACACAACAATTGCACGAATTATAACTAAGATCATTCCAATAAAATAAATTAAATATATCTTTTAAGAACAACACCAAAAAAATGACACAAGGAACTTAGCATTAATGGGAAAAACTACAAATGCAACACTGATGTTAGAGGAGGATAAGTTACCAAAATATTTGATATACATGTTTCATATTTCTTCATTTCTACTTCTAAATCTAAAAATTCAGTCAAATAAAGAAACTAAATCACAAGCAAAGAATCATGCCAATCTCAAATCATACCTGAGGGAGAAATGTAGGGAAATTAGTTAAAAGTTTTCTCTTGTTAAGATTCCGAAAGTCCAGTGTAGCTTCAGCAACAACAGGGTCTAAAAGTTCACTGCAATCAAACATTGGAAGAGTGATTTTCAAATACGATTTATCATATGATATGCCATCATAAATAGAGAATAATTGTTAGATGAAATCATAATTTCTTTTTTTCCCCATAAATAACTTATTGTGAAAGAAGGACTACAAACATCTTTACCAGCTCAAACATGAATGAATGAATAGGGTCTTTTAATTCGATGGACTCCTCTCCTCTTCATGTGGGAAATTCTCCAAAACTGGTTCAAGACGTTGGCCAGTCACTTTAAAAACATTACCATTCTTGGGATTTTCAATCTGGGCCCCATGAGAAAAACAGTTTTAACTATGAAACGGCCCAGTCCATCTAGATCTCAATTTACCAGGAAACAAATGCAGTCTAGTTTTATACAAAAGAACCTTTTGTGAAGGATTAACAATTCCTTTGGGTACAAACAATATTAACATTAAAAACATATCATATACAATGACACGGGGAGGACTAGTCAATCAACTGGATGCCCTTTTTTCTTCTGAAACAGCACACCTTTTCTGCTTCCTTATCGACAAAAAAATGCAATCCTGCCTTTAGGCAATAGAAATATTATCCTTTATTGGATGAAAAGCTACAAACACAAGACCCTTGTGAGTAAAAAGGTATACATCTTATGTAGAGGGGGTAGAAAATTAAGATGAAAATTACCATTCGTTTTGCTGAATTCGAGCAGCCCGAGCACCCTTGACAACATTGCGGTCAGATCTAGTGTTTTTGCTATTATCTAAGTCGCCAAATATACATTTCATAAAAGGAACAAATAAAGAACAGAAGACGGGTAGTAATTAAAAGGAAAAACAAATAAATATTTGAAAACCAAAATCAAAATATTAAAGGACTAGAGGTACAATGAAATCTTGTCTAACCTTTGAGAGAGGTTTTGTGGATGTTATGAGATGATTTAGAAGCACACCGAGTCTTATGGGCCTTGTTGAGCAATTGATATTGTTGAAGGCTCAAATGTAGTTTTTCTACAAATTTAAATTAAATTCATTAAATCACAATCAAATACAAATTGAGAGAATGAATATAATATCCAAAATTCATAGAACAACTATGTAATTTTAAGCATCCATCACACCTCCTAACCAGCTTTATTGCTAGAACCTAGCAATTAGGCTGACTAAAATAAAATCAAAAAGTAAAATAAAAGCAACAACTCTAAACCACTTCTGCAAGAAATCACGATTGAATTTAGCACATGCAACAAGCCCTTAATCCAATAGGTTACCCCTCGTGGACGAGTAAAAGTCTCGTGAGGGTTTCCAAAGATGTTACCCACAAACATCCAAAAATTTCTTTACTAAAAGGATTTCTTTCATTCTCATGCCAAAGTTAAAGAACCAGCCATGAATTTCACAACCTTAACAAGATAATCAATCAAAGTTCAAGACACTAGCAGCAAATAAAGATATCTCATGACATTCAAAATTTGGAGTGTGTTAAAAAAGTTTAGCAAACACAGACACAACCTTAGCCTTAAAGTGAAATATAACCCAAATCTCTTTCTGAAACATGCTTCGACTCAAATCTCACCAGTTACTGCACTCAACAAATAAATCACTCAGAATATGATGCAAAAATTGCTCTCAATATATGCGAGTAGAACAATGTAAATCAAAGGCAAAATATCCCTCATACTAATTTTTTTGAAAAACGCTAATATGAAAGAATAAATAAATAGTCTCATGAATGGAATACCATATACTGAGAATTAAAATTACCACACCATCACCCCAATCCATCATGTCCACTTGTAAACTATACCACACTCAAGATCAAATAGGACTTTTATTTGGTTGTAATGCTTGGGTTGAGGAATTACGAAAAAATAATAAAAAGCCAAAGGTGAATAAAAAAAAGGACGTCTGAGAGACAATTGGCATAAAAATAAACACAATTAGAGCATTATTCCAAATGCCTTGCTCTTTCTATTACTTTTTTTTTTTTTTTTTTGCTTTCAACTTTCCTCCTAAACTTGCTCTTTTTTTTTCCTTTTGTTGTCCCCCCCCCCCCCCTCCCCCCTCGGTTGAACACAATTTATTTCTTCTTCTTCTTTTCCATCTTCTCTCCTTTTTTTCTTTTTTTTTTCACAAATTTGCCATTGTCAAACTCAAATTTACCAACATATCTACAAAATTGAAAAGAAAGTATGGCGTTGTTGGTGTTAAACAAATGAAAGACACGAAAGGCTCAAATTTGTTTCTAATAAAGTAATAATAAAGGAAAGAAAAATTAAATAAAAGCTCATGAAACAAAGATGCCTAAAATCCATTCTCTCAATTCCCATTGATCTCAAGGGAATAAAAGTATGGTAACAAATTGATTTATCCTCAACATTCAACCAAAATTAAGAAATAATGAGACTAAACAACAAATTAATGCGCTTCCAAAGAAAATTAAGAGTAGATGTATCACAACCCTCCAATAAAAGATTAGCACAAAACTCGTAGGCTCAAAAGTCTCCACTATCATTCTTCAAGATTTTCAAGTCATATCCACTTATCAACTAAAAATCATATTCATGTGGCTAAAGTGTAGTGCAATGATTTCCAAATACGAACACATGGAATACTTTAACAAAGTAGCTAACATATCAAACTTCAACACAATTTCTTGAGTTAAAGCAATAAAATACTACAAGTATGCCGAATCACTCAACGCATAGAACAATAGATTACCATGCACAGTTTTTTTTTTTTTTTAAACAAAACAACTAACTCATTGTAGCAAGCAACATATAAATTCTTCTCAAGATAAGTATTTTCTCCCCTCAACCTGAACGATGCATTGTCCTCAAGGGAGTAAAAGTATGATAACAAATTGATTTATTCTCAACATTCAACCAAAAATGAAAAAATAATGAGACTAAACTATAAATTAATGCTCTTCCAAAGAAAAATTAAGAGTAGATGCATAATAACCCTCCAATAAATGATTGGCACAAAACTCACAGGGTTAAAAGTCTCCACTATCATTCTTCAAGATTTTCAAGTCATATCCACTTATCAACTAAAAATCATATTCATGTGGCAGAAGTGTGGTGCAATGATTTCCAAATATGAACACATGGAATGCTTTAACAAAGTAGCTAGCATATCAAACTTCAACACAATTCTCGAGTTAAAAGCAATAAAATACCACAAGTATACCCAATCACCCAATATATAGAACAAAAGATTACCATGAGCACTAACTTTTTTTTTTAAAAAACAAAACAACTAACTCATAGCAGCAAGCAAATATATAAATTCTTCTCAAAATAAGTATTTTCTGCCTCCAACCTAAACAATGCATTGTCCTAAATATAAAAAATAAAATCAAAAAGTATAGGAGATTACCTTAAATGATTAACCATGTCTATATGTGTCATTACCTGCAAGGGGTTAGCGCCAAAAACACAAAGGAAAAAAAAAATACAAACGAAAAACTAACTGCTCCTAAAAGTAAAATTATTTTGAATAATATGCACAAACCGGTTCCCCAAAATAATTCTGATCAATTATTCTGAACAACTTTTTGAATGAAGTAAAGGAAGTTGGAATTGTTAATCTCTAATTATCTAAAAACTACGAAAAGTGCGTTTTGGTTTCTATAACACGTCACAACAAATGAAATACAAAATTCCAACAAAATTTCCACAAAAGAAAAGATAAAATTGCATAAGATAATACTGTGAGAATAGTGTTCTCCGTTTTCCTTTTCCTTTTAGGATTAGGAATTAGTGTTAGTGTTCTATAGCTAATAGCATTCTCTATCAATGATGTATTTTGTTTAGGATTAGGATTTAGCATTCTATATAAGTGAGTGATGTAATCTTTGTTCAATTAAATGAGATATACAGTTTGACTCAAAAAACTTATATGGTATCAGAGCAAGGTTTGAACCGAAACCCTAGAAGCTCTTTGTGAGTTAATCACAAATAGTCTCTCGAAAATCAAGCCTCTGGTATTTTCTCTCTGAGTCGCAGGTGGCGACCTCCTCTGTTTCTTCTGTGTTCATCTAGTTCAAGCGAAGGTCTCGAGTTGTCCTTCGTCTCTGCCTCGCAACCCATTCGTGAAAACCCTAGCCTCTGGTTCGTGATCTGTCACTGGACTCGAGTCGTCGTCGTCGTCGTCATTGGTTCTCTCCTGCTTCGCTTCGCGCGATCGAAGCGCTGTCTATGCCGGCTGCTCCAGAGTCGACTTCGACTCTTGTCTTTCTCTCTTCTCCTCAATCTCTCTCTCTCTCTCTGTCTCTGTGTGTGTGGTTCGAAGTTGACCTACGGCTGTCTTTCGTTACCACCAGTTCTCCTTCATTCTTCTTTTGGACCAAACAAGTTCCTGATTATTATACTTTGACCCCTCAGTTCTTTTTATTTTTGCTAGTTATCACACTTTGCCCCATCTTTTCCTTCTGGTTCATCACAATGTCAAAAGATAAAATTCAAGCTATTAAATGCAAACTTACTGGTGACAACTATCCTTATTGGTCTAGTGTTATGAAAAATTTTCTTCTTGGTCGAAAAAAATGGGATTATGTTTCTGGTTCTGTTCCTCGACCATCAGACCTGAAGGAGGATGGATATCTGAATTCCTGTGATACTTGGGATTGTGATAATGCCCAAGTTCTGACCTGGTTTCATAATTCCGTGGCTGACCGTATTGGAATGATGTTTTCCAAGTACAATACTGCCAAAGAGGTGTGGGATTATTTACTAGGTGTCTATCAGCAGTCCAACTTTGCCAAGCGGTATGAGTTGGAAACAGCTATTCAGAATGCTCGTCAACGGAATCAGACTATTCAGGACTTTTATATTGAGATGACAGGTCTCTGGGATCAGTTGGCTCTTATGGAACCACCTAGTCTCAAGATACTAGACACTTATATTGAGTTTCGGGAGCAGGGTCGTTTAGTACAGTTTTTAACAGTCCTCTCCCCTCAGTATGAGGCTATTCGAGGTGGCTCCCTTCATCGATCTCCTCTTTCCTCTGTGGATGCTATTGTTCGTGAACTCCTCTCTGAGGAAACCCGTCTTAAGACAGCCAGTCAGACTTTACCTCCTTCTGTCTTCTTGGCTCCTACCAAGCAGCCCTTGTTATTGACCCCTCCTCCTCATCAGCTTCAGGCCACTGCGAAACCCAAGAAAGGACCATTAGGGCCAGATGAGTGTGCTTTCTGCCATCAAAAGGGTCATTGGAAGAACAATTGTCCCAAAAAGGGACGTCAGCTTGCTCCATCTTCTCAGACACAGTTTCGAGGTCCTACTTCGAGTACTTTTCGACCTTCTGCTACTTACATTGCATCCACTCCGGCTCCCGATCCTAACTTGGCTTCCTTGAGTGCTTAGGTTGCACAACTTCAGCATATCCTGTCCACCTCTCAGTTATCCACATCTGCCTCCGCTCTTGCCTCTCTTCATTCAGATTTGCTTGGGTCCTCTTCAGGTATCCCTTCTTCTGTCTGGCTTTTTGATTCTGGTGCCTCTCATCATATGACTCCTCACATTTCCTTACTTCAAAATTGTATTCCCCCACCCGTTCCTATTACTATTAATACTGCTAATGGATCCGGTATGTCGGTTCTGTCTGTTGGGTCTGTCTTCCCCTCTGCCATGTCTGCTGTTACTATTCCTTCTGTTCTTTATGTTCCTTAGTTATCTGTCAGTTTATTATCCATTAGTCAACTTGATAGGTCTGGTTTTGATGTTATCTTTTCTTTTTCTGTCTATTGTGTGCAAGATCGGGTGTCCAAGAAGCAGATTGGGACCGGCCGTAGAATTGGAGACCTCTATGTAGTCGAAAGCTTGCATCTCCCCTTATCTACTTCTCTAGCTGCATTTTCCTCATTTTAGTTAGATTCTCAGTCGAGTCAGTTTTACTTATGGCATTCTCGCCTCGGTCATTTGTCTATTGACCGCTTACGGTCTTTAGCTCAGTCAGGGTTGTTGGGTAAAGTTTCCCTAGTCAAATTGATGAATGTCGGGGATGTA